TTTTGTGTTCAATATATAGACCACAGTAAGACTTTTTTTAAATGTTTATTTCATTAACAAACGACGTTAACTACCTGAAGATGGAGTAAATCTCCGAAACGTCGTTTGTTAATGAAATAAACATTTAAAAAAAGTCTTACTGTGGTCTATATATTGAACACAAAATATACAATCATTCATGTCGTCTGCACTCTATACTTTTATCAAGCATGCAGAAGTAGTTTGTATTTCCTATTTTACTGTCGTTCCAATTGAAGTGTTCCTCAAATATTGATTCAATACATTACCTCAGGCTGACCAATTCATTTGATCAAGTTCCTCGAAATATTCATACACGTCCTGTGAAAGAGCCAATTCCAAGAATTTGATCATTTTTGGTTACTTCCTTTCTATTTATGATTGGTTAGTTGCACAAACAACAAAGGTGATTGGTGCATTCAAACTATTCAACAGGAGGTTTACAATTACACTAGGAAGTGTATGAATATTTCGAGGAACTTGATAAAATGAATTGGTCAGCCCGAGGTAATGGATTGAATCAATATTTGAGCAACACTTCAATTGGAACGACAGTAAACATTTCCTCTTTTGCTTACTAAAGTACGAAAGTACTAAACCACGTAATTTGCAGTGTTTCACTAATATAAACAACGAATTAAGTAATATTTCAAATCCGACTATGAGGACTGGACTAGATTTCAAGTCCGCGTAATTTGATCAAGTCCGAGGCGAAGCCGAGGACTGGATCCAAATGCGAGGACTTGAAATCTAGTCCAGTCCGGATTGGAGGATTTGAAATGACATCTCATACGAATAAATCACTACTTAATTAATTTTGATCCAGTTCAAGGACTGAATTAATTTTGATCCAGTCCTAGGACAGGATCAATATATACTTCACCAGGTATCCAGTATTATCATGTGAGCAAAATAAGGCAATATGGTTGGCTAATTTACTCATGAATTATTAATGAGTTTGAGATGTGTATTTCTTAATTATTGGCTATATTAGTAAACACTGCAAATTACGAGTTCATGTTCAGTACTTCGGTATTTTAGCTCAGCGCTTAGTAAGCAAATTATGAAGTTGTCTTTGTAATTTCCACGCCCAATGTTCTAAATTTGGAAACCTTTATAATGGATGATTCAGCTAAAGACGAAATTTTGATATAGACATAAATGATGATGCTGGAAAGAGCATCTTAAAATGAATAAATGCGAATTGTTGTAAAATGAAGAAAATATAGCCCTGTGAAGTTCACAAATTTTGTATATATTTGCATAACGCGCGGGAAAAATAACCATTTTTCAGCCGAAAGTGGTATTTTTACTGAGCGTAATATAAAAATATATACAAAATTTGCGAACTTCACAGGACTATATTTTCCTCATTTTACAACAACCAAACTTTGCAACTGATTTTACTCATTTTAAGATGCTCTTTCCAGCTATGCATGGTAATGGTTTCGTTCTTCTTGTTTAGATCAAAATTTCGTCTATATATAGCTGTCTGTCTTGTACATAGATGGCCTACGCATGCTTAGAACCAACAAGATTCTTTTTTATAGAACAATTTAGAATAATTTTCTTAATAGCTAATTAATTTTTATTTCCTATGGAGGAGTTATTGAGCTTTCGAAAGTGTGGGAGAAAACAAGTCTTAAACACTTTCTGAGCGTCTTTCAAGAAAGTATAAGATTCAGCGGTATATGCATGAAAATACTTAGAGACATAAAACAGCTTATACATGTATATAGCAAGAATTTTCAAGTGACATCCAGTTCAAAAATAGACTGTTTCAAAGACTATACTCAAAGCTTGCCATACAAAGAAGTGGCGCCACTTTTCTTTCAACAAAGAACCAATTAGATATAAACAGTACACCCTGAAATTATTTTTTTAATTATACACATGTAGTTCGAAGTGCTCTTTCGGGTAGTTCCGATTAAACCCACGACACTGTACTCATATTATATCCCACGTTTGAATTCCCCACCCCCACCATGCATTATAATTGATCCAAGGCCAAGCATTTTAGTCTTAGTTGCAAGCGTAATTAAACTACAGTAGTTCAACGAACCTCATATAATAGAAAGAATAAGCTTCAACTTTTGTTCGCAGTGAACACTGGTCAATATGCCTTGTCGCAGCATTTAGCTTCGTAGTACTAGTACTAGTAGTAGTGTAAACCAGGTTTATAAAGAGAAAAGGAACTTTTGGGGGAATAACCACAATACAAAGAAATTATCACTACAATTGAGAAACTAAAACCTCTTTCAAAACGAAAGATCGTGGCGTTCTTTCATTCTTAAAGAAACTTAAACAGTTTCGATTTATCATCAATTATAAAACAAAGTGCTCTTATAGAGTTAATGATTGCTTACAATAAGAACAATTAAAATTGAAGTAAGAGAATCTTTAATTTGTGTGTTACGTAAGTCGTAACACGCGCTCAAAACTAGTTTCTCAAGCGGCGAACAAACTTAAAAGGTATGTTTAGTGCTTTATCTGTAAAATTATGCTAAAATGAAGAGATTTTAGATGGTACACCAAAGGGAAAATGATGTCTGAAGTTCAGTACGTTTAAATTGCTATATTGCTGCATTAATATATGGCGTCAATTTTGCATCATCGATGACAACTGAATGATAATTAGCCTTTCTCACGATGACGAATATCCGCCATTTTTGGGTGGCATCTAATTTTCGTTAACCAATGCAGACAATTAAAACAATGTGAAAAGCAATTTTTCAAAATAAACTAACCATTTACAAAGCAAATTTACCATAATTCGTCCAAAAAATTATAAAAAGTCGCTGTTATGTGGACTTATCTCGCAGACTTCAACTAAAATGCCACCCAAAAATGGCGGCGTGAGAAAGGCTAATTGTGTTTAAATTAATAAATTAATAAACAATATTTAACTATTACAGTATTTTGTGTTTGTCAACCGCCAGATCCATTTGAAAAGGTTGCTAACTGCGTAAACTACAACCTAAAACTAAAACAAAGATTTTAGCTTTTGACTTTTGTCTCATTTTGAACACTTTTCATCGCCGGCATCGCAATTGACCATTTGCGTAATAGACTAAATTTTGATCTCAACAAAAATTTCATTACAGCTTGAAAGAGCATCACAAAATTAGTAATATTCCAAAGTTTCGTTGCAAAATGTTGTAAAATGCGGAAAATATAGCCTTGCGAAATTTGCAATTTGCAGTCATTTTAGATTACAAACCGGAAATTGACAGCCTCGCAGGGTTTGGGGCTGTCAATTTCCCGTTTGTAATCTAAAATGACTGAAAATTGCAAATTTCGCAAGGCTATATTTTCCGCATTTTACAACATTTTGCAACGAAACTTTGGAATATTACTAATTTTGTGATGCTCCTTCAAGCTGTGATGAAATTTTTGTCTAGACTTGTTTAGTTCAAAATTTTGTCTATTACGCAAATGGTCAATTACGCGACAATGCCATTGCCCATTGGAAAAAATTGCCTCTTAAAACAACCAATATATAAACTAAGAGATGTGAATGTCGGTGAAAGAGCTCTTGAAAAAATACGCATAACAAGTACTTAGAGAAAAGGCATGCTCAAACACGTTTAGGAAATTTGAATATATAATCAGATGCATATCTTCAGTGTTATTTCGTGATAAAAATATACAATAATGAAATTCCAGCCCAGTACAACGTTTGCCACGCATTGCAATACTTATTAGCTGGAATGCCTTTTTGTTGCATGTAAATTTTGAAATTTTGAAATGTAATTTCATGCCCTTTGCCTTTGGGGGAAGATTTTACAGAACTTAGCCTGCGTGCAGCCTGACTTTTTTTTTCAGGCTGCACGCAGGCTAACAGAACTGTGATGGTCAGAAAATGGCAATTATATACAGTACTCAGTAGATTAGCATTTTTTTTTTAAATATCCCATACTGGTCTTCTACGTTTTTTGTTCTTACCAAACATACAGTAGAATTTGCCCTTCAAATTATTGAGTATTTGGCAAATTTGCTGAGGGCAGATTTTCATTTTTTTAAAAGGAGGGGTGGAAAAGTGGGGTGCAAGCGGCACCACTGAGCGAGCTTCGGCAGGGGTTACTTAGGCGTTAGGGTTGAAGACTTTCACATCCTTTACACCCCTGTATCCAGCATTGCTTTACCGTTCAATATGCTCTACTAGGTACTCCATTCTGTTGTTGCATTGCTTTACAATGCTCTGCATAAACATATACTGGTTCAGGGTTCCCACTAGAATTTCGAGTAGGAGGTATTTTGATAGAAATGGGTGACAACGTCATGTTGAAGGTACCACTCGCCAAGGAGTGGGGAGGTCTCCTGAGGGCATCTCCCTGTGAGATCTTGAAATTTAGACACCTAGCTCCCACCCCCAAATTATGTTATAAAAGAAGGAAACCTTCCCCTTGGTATTTTGTGGTGAGGAAATACTTTGGATTATAATTTCGAGAAATAACCAGCAATTGCCTACACTATAGAAAGCAAATATTTCCAAGTTCTGGCATCTATTGAGAACCTCGCCAGCTCGTCAAAAATATATAGGTGAGGGTGTGTGCAAATCATTCTTGCTGATTAACAAAGAATTACTGTGACAGTCCAAATATGCTATATATGTTATAAAGAAATCGTTGTATATTAACAGCATCCCGCTTCGTACTTCTAAATATCCCTTTACATTCTTGCTATTATTATACAAACATGGGGTATTAATTAACACACACCCCAGCTACTGTCCTAACACTCGACTCATCAGATAGCAAAATTAGTGAATATTAAAGTCTGGTCGATTTCCAATCTAATCCAGCAGAAGGTATTTGCCTTTGCAATCACAACTTAAGCTTAAAGAATAGCCCACCTATAGTTACAAATAATTCAGATTCAGTTTTCTTGCTGCAAAATTCATCCAGGATGATGTATTGCATGCTTTATATATTTGCTTATACAGGGCTAACTCTTTATGAGGACTGGAAAATAATACTTACTGGGTAATTGCTGCCGAGCGTAGCTCGGCAGCACACTAATCTCTACACGTGGTGTGCTTACCACGTGACCGCCGAGTTTATAGCCGCTACAATCTCGATTTATGTCATTCTGTCATCCACGGACGGGCCAAAACTAGCTGTTTTGATATTATTTTTTTGTTCCCGGGGGGGTTTGTTCACAACATGGCGACTGTTATAAACAGACAGAAATATAAAAATCATAAAATAATGCGAATTTCCATAAAAATTCCGAGTAATATTTGTGAAGATGAATGGGTAAATAAAGCACGGTGTTATTTTGTGTCTCTGGCGCAAGAATGATCGACAATATTTTGAATAATTCAGGTAAGGATGGCTTTATTTCGTTCTCGTATAGTGATGTAGTCGTGCCGTGTGCCCTGTCTGGTGATATATTTTATAATACGTGAAGGCATTTATATTTAAATCTGCTGTTTATACTTGTTTAGTCACTTTAGTGTATTAAACTTCGATATACACTAGAGGCATTGAAACAAAATGATTTCAAGAATATATCGGCAATTATAATACCCACTGAATCACTGATCTATTCCCGACCAAATCGACAGTAATGATTAATGCCTTTATGCTGATACAAGAAGCAAATGAACTTTTAGTTTATTTGTTTGTTATGTCACTTTATATGTGCAAAGCCAAAGGCGGTGAGTATATAATAGTGTTCGGTACGGTTCTATTTCTAAATGTTTATAGTTTAAAAACAAACGCGGGATGTTGTTAAATCAGGCTTAACAAGATTCCTAGAGCTACCCAGTGTGGATTGTTGTCTGCATATATGGACTTATCAGCAATTACATGTAATATAGCATATCAACTGACTTTTGTATAAGATATGACTTGTATAAGGCCTCAGTTATATATAAAGCCTATAAACATGATTCTACTGACATACATTGATATATAAATACCACAATAATGCTCACAACTTCAACTTCTTTCTAACAATATAGTTTTGCAGTTCTGACTGTTCTGAGTATGATCTTATTCATTCAGAAATATAAGCATTGCACTGTATTCAATGGCAAGCTATCCTGGATTCCAGAGCCTTCAGTTAATAATAAATTGAAATATCGTGAAGGCTCTGGTTCAACGGGAGGATTCTTTGATTAAACTGTGCCATCACAAAACAGAATTAGCAGTTTTAGTACAGATTTTGGGCGTGTTAACCCATTAAGCGCCAGCGCTCTCCCCTTGACGAGTAAAATCGTCTGGCGTTAGACAGAGTAAAATACTCTGGCGTTAGACAGAGTAAAATACTGATCTATCTGCCCATGTGTCTAGTAAAATACTAGACACATGGGCAGATAGATCAGTTAATTAACCAATTAAGCGCCAGCACTCTCCCCTTGACAAGTAAAATCGTCTGGCATTAGACAGAGTAAAATACTGTTCAAAGTAGGGTGCATCAGGGTGCAATGCGACCCAATGGGTTAACTAGACACATGGGCAGATAGATCAGTTAACCCATTAAGCGCCAGCACTCTCCCCTTGACGAGTAAAATCGTCTGGCATTAGACAGAGTAAAATACTGTTCAAAGTAGGGTGCATCAGGGTGCAATGCGACTCAATGGGTTAATATAGTACATAACATAGGTCATAGACATACAGTTTCAATACAATACAAAATGATTTTGAACAACGTCAAGGTCAATGTAATCATACAAAATGAATTTATGGAATATCAATTAAATGTATTTAAAACAAACATAATTTCAACATCCCAATAAGCAATAACATCCCAGTAAGTATAAATTCAACTATTTTAAATCAATTGTTTGAATAGCCAAATTAAAAGTTGTACGAGTGACAAAATCATTCAATAATATTCACATTTTATCATTTGTATTATGTGTCAACTATCAAAGTCGCACTGTTAAGTATATTAAAATATACTTTTCATAAGGTTAGATGTAAGATATAATTGTACGAAGGTAACTGAGGAACGACGATGTGTAAGACAATAAATCATACATACAGTGAAAAACGCTCTTTTTGTAGCACATCCTACATGTACATATTGGCAGCATTTTCCTTGCGATAGTAACTCCTAGTATATATATATATCTCGATTAGTATTATGCCAACAGCAAACTTCGCGCTTGTTATTATCCTTTTACTTCAATTACGGCACAAAAACCAAATATCTTAATATCTCTCCATATAACTAGCCATATCAATAAAACTCATTGCGGCTGTCTGCATGTGCACAGAGATCGGA